GGGAAGAATGATCCTGTATATGCAGATAGGTAGAGAAGGCTTTGCTTTCAGCTTAGGGATTCTTCCCCTCAACTCAGCCCTGGTGAGGCATATCTGGTATGCTTTGTCTGTCCAGTGCAAGAGAGGGTTGATCCTGCTTGAGTAGGCCCAGTGTAGGACCATGAATGTGATTAAAGGACTGGAGTACCTGTCATGAGAGGCTGGATTAGGTGGGACTCATCAGTGTGGAGTAGAGAAGACTCAGGGGCATCTTTTTCATATAGAATAATTTAGAAAAGACCCTTAAGATCAAGTCCAGCCATTAATCTAATGCTGGCAAGTCCACCACTAAACCGTGCCTGTAAGTGCCATGTCAAATTATATATTAAAAAAAAAATCAACAAATAACTGGTGGGGAGACTAGAGAAGGTCATCTGAACTTTCCTTAGTGATGCCCTGTGTGACAGGACAAGAGGTAGTGGGCAGAAATTGAAACACATGAAATTTGATCTGAGCATGAGAAAAATTGTGAGGGAGGCTGAACACAGGAATAGCTCACCCACAGATGTAGGGGAGTCTCAGTCTACGGAGACAGCAAAAACATGACTGCTTGTGGCCCTAAGCAACCTGCTGTCATTGATCCTGCTCTGAACAGGGGTTTGGATGAGACAATCTCCAGAGGTCACTTCTAATGTCTGCTGTTCTGTGCCAGCATAGAACAGTCTGTACACAATTCTGTACACAGAGTTGGCTTGAAGTAGAAAAATCAGACCTCAGGTAAACTGCAGGTTTGGCTTGCTCGGGGGCATGGTCATGTCATTGACTTAAGCACTCCTTTTTATGTCAGCATTGACATGATACATGACTGAGTTGGGTTTGAATGCTTCCCACACCACCTTCCTACCCTCTGTAAAGTCTGGTGTGTGAGTATAAAGGCAGGAATGAAAGAGGGTAGGAATGCTGTGTTTGGTGACCATGCAGTTTTATCTTGGCATCAGTCAATACAGAAAAACATGAGTTCAGTCCCTAGTTGGTTGGATCCTTTAGGGAAAGGGTAGCGGGTAGCTGTACAGTGTGTATAGAAAAGGAAGAGATGGGTTGCATTTAACTTACTCAGGACGCTGGAAGAGAGGAGGTGGTTACCGCAAAGGGAATGTAGAGTAATTATCTGGCTACAAGGGGAAAACTTACGTGTTCAGAAATGGTGCAAATACTGCGTTAAAGACTGGTAGTGTATGGCAGAGATTTTTCTCATGGGTGTTTTGTGTGTGTTCTTGGAAATCTGCACCGGTACGGAGATGATGATGGTGCAGGGGAAGAATGAGGGTTAAATTCTCCTGTTAGTAGCTGTGTATTTTGAACACTTTGAGAGCTCTTCCTGATTCATGATTGTTTTACCCATAATTTCTGAAAGAACACTTGGATGTACTGGGTGATTTATATTGACTGTGATGATGCACTTGCTCCTGTGGCACAATATTTTATTTGCCTGTGTTCATTGTCTAGCTGGAAGTCCTCAGAGTAGGAGAGTGGGGATGTTCTACAGAAACTCCTTAGGAAAAAGCAGCCTTCTATTCTTAACCTTCTGTAATAGAGAATAATGAAATGGACTAAGTGCACAGGTGTACTTGAACTGTTTCCTCATGGATGGGCAAATAGTAATGACTTTCTACCTGCTGTCCCTTTTTTTTTAAGCCTCATGCAATGCATTATTTAAGTTAACATGATGAGGTTAATTCTTGCAGTGCAAATTGATTGAAAGGACTAATGTTAGTGTAGACTTCTGCTTCCTGATTTTTTTTTTGTGCTCTCCAAGTTCACAAGGACAAAACAAGGGATTCTACTTGCATGTCCGGGGGGGGTTCTGACAGCGGTCTTCCAAACTTAATACCTGGGAGGTGTGTGTTGCTAAAGCCAGTTTTTTGTTTGCATCTATTAATATGTTAGGCAAAAGCTAGTGTCTTTGTGTTGGAGTAAGAAAAGCGGGGGCTTCAGGGTGTGCTTTCATTCTTGAGGTGTGGGTTTATTTTCCTGTTGAAGGAAAATTCTAGTTCTGGAGGTTTTTTTCATTATAAGAATTGAGATACAGTATTGGCATTGGAAGAAAGTCTCAGATTAGTCTGTGTATGAGAAGAACCCCTGTACACCTAGAAGCCTGGCTGCTGTATTTCCAGTAAGTGGAGGGAGGCACTGTGAATGGCCTATCTTGACTGGTGGGCTTGCTGCCAGAGGGGTCGGGTGTGCTGTTGCAGCTGATTGGAGGCCCAGCCTCCTTCTTGAACTGCCCTGTGACTTCACCTGGCTGTAAATTAAACTCTCTTCTCAGGTGTGTTCCCTTCATTGCTTGTATCTGACACCCTTCCACTTTGTCTCTGTATATTTCCCTTTCCTGTGAGGTTTTGAAGATTTGGAGTTGACAGTTAGTGTTCATGTGTGAGAATTCTGCATTTGCACAACACAATAACAGTATAGTAAAACAATTAATTTAAACAGCTCTGAACTGAAACATTATACAAGTCATTCAGGTTGCTGTTGACTGTTAGCATATTCTGCATTTTGGCTTCTAATGTATACTAACTCTTCAGTGTATTCTTAATGAAGCAATTCACTTAATTTGACACTACCCCCCCTTCACCTTTCCCTATTGAAAGTGTAGCTACAAAGGGATGAATTTGTCAAATGCAGAAGCATATAGAAGTGGTTTGTGTTCTAGTGTTTTGTTTATGTTACATTCTCAGTTCCTAGAGGAAAGGATTCAAAATCAGGAAGAAAAACTTGAAGTCAGAAGCCGAGTGAATATTTTTCAAATGAGAGCTAATCTGTTCCCATAGTTTACTAAGATTTTGTCAATCCTCTGGTATGAGGAGGTCTTAAACTAGAATGCTTTTGAAGATAGTGAGGCTCAGTAGCAAATTACTGAGCTCAGTGTTGGGGTATCTGGTGAAACTAGCCAGTGTTGTGCATGAAGCCAGACTGGATGCTTACCGTAACCCTGGACTTTGAGCTGCATTTGTGTTCACAGATGACAGTCAAATAATAGCTTCTTCACTGCTAAAATTTTAGAGGAATATTTGCAACTGCTGCAAATCATCTCATCAAGAGTGCTAGGATTCCAAAATTGCTTGGCTTTACTGGGCATTAACTGTTGAGAAATATGTATCTCTCAAATCTTATACACAGTGGTTTTGTTTCTGTTCTCAAGTTGAAACTGTGGGCTTTTTCATGCCTTCTGGCAAGTAATTATCAAATCCTTCTAACAGTATTTCATGCTTGGTAACCAGAGTTGATTAGTTTGTTCCTGAACAACCAGAAATTAAGCACTACCTGAATTAACATTTTGATGTGGATTCAAAGGTGTTGATACTGTTCTAATCATCATTGGTTATTTTTTCTTATCAGTGATTGATATTACATATCTGAGCTTGGAGTGAGGTGGTGGCAAGTGAATTTTGGTGAGAGATCTTGAGATTGTTGAAATGTCCTGATGCCTTGAGGCAACCACTGATGCCTCAAACATTTTAGAAAGGAGTCTCCAACTTTGGGGAATTAATTATCCCTCAGAGGCAAATCTTGTGTGGTGTAACCAAAAGGAGATATGATGGAAGAGTATGTTTATTAATTTCCTAAAGCTAACCACATAATAGGAAGACCTCAGTCAAGCTTCTGCCTGACTGCTTAGCAAAAAAATCTGCTGCTAAGTGATGAGCAGTTTATGAGGGTTTAGTATGTTATGGAGAAGAAAAATATCAGTGATGATTTGCCCTGCAGTCTCTGCCAAGATGTACCTAGCAGAAATCCTTGAAGCTGTTGAAAGCAGATGGGCTAAATGTGGTATGATCACTTCAGTTCTTCAGGGTCTATTCTCCATCTTTACTACTTAAATATCTTGCAGGAGCTGCAGAAGTGAAGTGGTTGGGGAGTTAGTTGCTTACTAGTTCAGTTTGAGGTTTGGGCTAATTTTCTGGCTTGGAAGGATATAGTAAGCTTTGGGCTAATTTTCTGGCTTGGAAGGATATAGTAAGCATTATTATACTGAGTTGTTTGTTTTTGGTTTGGTTTTGTTTGTTTGGGTTTTTTTTAATGTGCTAGTGACATTAAGGGAAGGAAATGAATATGGGTTTTGTAAAAGATGAGAGTGAAGGTAGTGGAGTGTGACCAGGGAAGCAAATGCCAAGCAAGAAGAGGGGACCACATGTCTGAAGTGACAAAATTTCTTTGTGAATGTACTGGTCTTGAAGCAGCTGCTCCAAGCCTCCCCAAAAAGGGGACTGATGCAAGTTTAAAGTGAGCAATGCAAAGTTGCACAGACTGGAAACTAGAATTGTGGCCCCATTTCTTTTACACTTTTGATGTCCCAAAACCACTTGGCTTCATTGTGGGTAGGGCAGAGTGGGTAGGATAGTTTGCCCTGTCTAGTTTTTCAGTGCCTTTCAGAAAGATGTCTAGCTATAGGGCAGGGCAACTAAAGTCTATCGTCAGTGCAGTGTTTCCTTCTGGGATTGTTGTTTCTAAGTGATTAAAAAAATAATTACATGAGACCACAAAAAAAAACCAAAAAAAAAAAAACACAAACCACCCCACAAACAAAAAACAAAAAACAAACACAAACCAAAACCAAAAAACCCCAAACAACACAACACCCCAAAACCCCAACAAACCCACACCTGTGTAACCTTATCTAGGTGTTCCTGCTCCGGCAGGGGGATTGGACTAGAACACCCCCAACCAACCACAACATAGGGCCATGCCTGGGCTGTGATACAGTAAGTGACAAATTGTAGCCATAATTAAAGTACTGTTATACCAAAATAATAGAAAACTGCACTGAGGAGTATCTCTAGGGATGGGGGAGGAGAGGCTGTTGTTCAGATGGAACTCAAAAGTACTCCAGGCTGCCAGTAAAACCTGATCAGACATTAAAAAAAACAACAACAACAACAAAACAAACAAACAACAAAAACCAAAACTGACTTGAATGGAAAATCCTTACTGAAATTTTTTTTTTTCTCTCAATCATGCAGCTGATTGCAATGCTGTTCTTAAAGCTCTACAGCCCATTTTTCAGGAGCAGGGAATGACAGAAACAGTCCATAACTGGGAAGACCATGGCTATTTAGCAACCTACATTAAGAAAAATGGCAGGTGAGTGGATTTTCTTTTTTTTTTTTTCTATAGATTGTCCCCTCTGTCCTCATTTACAGGTAATTATTTCTCCCTGTGTTGGATTTCCTTCTGAGGTGCAGGCAGGGTAAGCTATTATTTTACCAGCCTTGTGTATAAAGTGACTGAAATAAGGCAGAATACTGTTGATACTCTAGCCTCTGTCATCTTACAGTTTGTATATCAGAATAGTTGAATTGGTCGGTCTAGGCTGTACTGATGCAGTAGCATTGTTCGATGTCTTGGTCTCAGGGCCAGTCCTTCCAGATGCAGGATAGATCAAGTCAGTTGAAAGTATTTGTAATTCTTTTGTTAATTAAGTGTCTAAATTCAGTCTGAACAGCAGCATGTGGATAATAAAAACGTTTCTGTCCCTGTCTTTTGAATATGCTTTTTAAACACTTTATATGCTTCACTTGCACGCTGTCTCCTATTACATCTTTGTAGGTAAGCTTAGGAAATGTGAGCTAGATGAATGGACAGTGAAGTGGATCAGAAATTGTCTGAATGGCAGAGTTCAGAGGATTGCAGTAGGCAGATGAGAAGCCAGTTGGAGGCCTGTAGTCAGTGGCGTTCCCCAGATCTGGTTTAATTCAATTTGTTTATCAATGACCTGGGTAGAGGGCTGCAAGTTCACTGATACGAAGCTGGGAGAAGTGGCTGATACACCTGAAGGCTGTGCTGTTGTTCAGCAGGACCTCAGTAGGCTGGAGAATTAGGCAACGAGAAACCAATGAGGTTCAACAAGGACAAGCATGGGGTATTACACCTGGGGAGGAAGAACCAACCCCAAGCACCAGTGCAGGTTGAGGGCTGACCTACTAGACAGCAGTTCAGCTTGGAAGGACCTGGGAGTGTTGGTAGGTAAGTTAACTGTGAGCCAGCAGTGTGCCCTTGTGGTCAGGTGGGGGGCCAATAGCTATATTAGAGTGCACTGGGAGGAGTGTGGCCACCAGATTGAGGGAGGTGATCCTCCTCCTCTGCATAACCCTGGAGAGGCTGCGTCTGGAGTACTGCGTCTAGTTCTGGGCTCCTCAATACAAGAACAGGAGCTACTGGAGAGGGTCTGGTCGAAGGCCACAAGGATGATCATGGATCTGGAAAGATTGCAGGAGCTGGGCCTGTTTATGCTACAGAAGCAACTACCGAAAAGGGACCTTATTAATGCATATGACTATCTCAAAGGTGAGTGCCAAGAGGATGGCACCAGACTCTACAGTGATGCCCAGGACAGGGAGCAATGGCCATAAACTAAAACACAAGATGTTTCAACCTCAACATGAATAACTTTATTTAATGTTGACAGTAGCAGAGCATTGAAACAGGCTGCCCAGTGATGTTGTGGAGTCTCCCTCTCTGGAGACGTTCAAAGCCTGCCTGGATATGTTCTTGTGTAACCTGCTGTAGGTGGCGTTGCCTTGGCAGGGGGGCTGGATTACATGATTCCAAGAGGTCCCTGCCAATGCTAACAATTCTGTGAATCTATGGCATTCTCAAGCAGCTATTGAAGTAACTAACAGCATGACAAAGGTGGTTAGTGTCATTAGTGACACATAAGCAGTATCTGCAGGGATAAACAGGTAAGCAAAGCCACATTAGCTTTATTTCCTGAAGATGCTTTACAGTGTCAGGGTTAATTATGGGCACGTATATTTGGCCTGTTTTTTATTAAGTACCGTAATTTTATTGCACTTCATTTGTTATTCAGTTTTTGTTCCTGATACTCATTGTGGTAATCACTGCTTTTGGTTTGTAGTTTGTTGTTTTGGTGGTTTTTTTGTTTGTTTTGTTTTTGTTTGTGGTTGTGTTTTTTTTTTAAATCTCCACATACTTTGTTCTTCAGGGTTGGAGGTATCCAACAAACAGACATTTACTTCAGTTATCTCCTCCGAAGTGTCCTGTTAAGTATCTCATTTGGTCACACTCTAAACATATGAGAATTGCCCAAAGATTTTTAAGTTCTTTCTTAAACAAGAGAACCAGTATCTCTAGGATAGCTCAGATTGTAGGCAGGTGTGTTGCCTGCTGAAATTTGTTTGTTTACTGTGTGTGAACATATTTGTATGTACAGCTCTCTTTATTGTATTTAAAGTAACGTAGACCACCAATGTTGTAAACCTGGGGCCTGATTTGACTTGTATCAGCTTACTTGTTACCTTTAGTACTAAGTTTGTATCTCTTATAGTCATGCTCCATGAAGTTCTTGAGCGATTTCAGTTAGCTTTTCAAATGTGATACTGTCTTTTTCTGATTAAAATTACTTGTTTCTTTTAATGCTTGATAGGTTTAGAAAAACCTGCTTTTTCTTTTCCTTTTTCTTTTTTTTGGTACAGTCTTTCTTACTCTGTCTTTAGTTATGTGTGCTTTTACATTTTTCCTGAATAATTTGATCAATATTCCTGTTCTGGATAACCTTTTATCTGTGAAAATATAGCAGAAGATGGTAACTTACTCCTGGTGTTGTCTTTCCTCTGTACTGGTTTAAGCTTGTATTTACTCCTGGAAATGTAATATCAAATATACCGAATTCTGAACAATTAAAAGGTAAAATATCTAAAAGTAAAAAGGACTTAAAAGATTTAAAGGTTGTCTTTCTTTGATTACATGACATCATTTTGCTTTCCAGTGTTTCCTTGAGTTTGAAAGTGACATGAGATGTGAATCCTCAAATTTGCTTTCCTTTTTGCAGTCTTATCTGATCATTCCTCTGTTGGAAGGCAGTCTCTTCGAAAGAAGCAGTTTCCAGAGTTAAATTATCTGTGTTTTGAACTTTCTAGAAAAGATGTCTGTTGTATAAACTTTCCAGAAGATAACTGAACTGGCATCTAGAAGCATCTCTAAGGGCCTTGCAAAACTGAATTTTAAAGTATTATTTCTCTTACTACACTGCCAACTGAAAATACTTGTTGCTCCAGATTCCACTGTCTTCCTCAAGTGCTAGTGTATAATACCAATGAATGTTTGAAGGGGGAGAGGAGTATGTAAGAGTTGATGTGTTTGTGTAGAAGAGGTGGGGAAGACTTCATGGGAAAGGCAAACCTGTGCCCTGGTGTACATTGTGGTCATTGTGGCAGAAGTTAGTAAAGTTAAGTTTTCCCATGGTAAAGCAGAGCCCTGGAGGGGGATATCCTAGATGCTCTGAGTATAAGCTTGGGAATTCAACATGCTGGAGAACTGTAAATACAATCTCCAGTCATTTTTTTTTTTATGGTTGTTTTTTTTATGCTTTTCAGAACTGTCCTCGAGTAGATAGCATGGGGGGAGGGGTGGGGAAAATGAGTTGTTTCCGGGAAGCCATGTGTAATTAGCTTAAGCAAGTGCTCAGTACACATTCTGATTTTTAAATGGGTTCTTTCCTGTGTGTTTTGTTGATCTTGTGTCTTCCAGCAGCTAGACACTGAATCATTTAGCTGTTCACTACTGTTAAATGCAACTTAAACTTTTGCACCAGAGGATAGTTCATAGTATTCTTACTGTTGTGGGAAGGTGAAGAAGGTAAGAGAGATGGGCCTAGTGGCCTTCCTGCAAGGAAATAATTGACGGTCTGTTATGCTAGGTCTTGTTTACCTCTTGCCTCTGTTCACTGAGCAAGGACAAGCACTCGGGCATCTATACTGCTGCAGACAGCCAGGTTGGTGCTTGGACTTCTTTAGGGCTACATCAACAGTTTGTCAGCTGGCAGGGTCTTGGGTTGGTTTGTTCCAGAGTCCTTTTCCAAAAGGCAGTGTTGCTGAGGCTTCACAGTTTGGGCAGCTTATGCTTTCACAGTTTTATCAAGTAGCCTTTTTTCACATAAAACTCTCATGCCACACTCCAGGGCATGCAGTGTGTACAGTTGGATTAAAAACACTTCCCTGGTGATAGTTGCAGAGCCCTTGCATCACTTCAGATGCTTTGATATTGCACTTTATGGGTTAAGGAAGAAACCTCACTTACTGTCTTGGGGCCACAGGAATACCATGGGGGCTGCAGGGAGAGCTGGGGCTAAGTGATCTGAGAACGGATGTGGCCTGTAGGTCTTTGGGGAATACTGGTCTTCTTGAGCCTTCTGGGCTGAACACAACAAGCTTAGTGAAGTACTGGTTCTCATCTGTTTAACCTTATATGCTGGACATGCCATTCGTCTTTATAATTGACAGTCAGAAATATGATAGAGAATACTGAGTTTCAGGAAAAAAAAAATTGGACTCAAAGATGCTCTAAACACTGGAGCAGATACGAGGTTCAGCACGGTTTTTGCGTTGCCTCATTCATGGGGGCTGACTGACTTGCTCTGTCACTGTCCTTTTGGCAGGTGTTTTAGCAGGTAGGTGTAGTGGTCTCCCCTTCCTGTAAACATGCAAGTGTTGCAACCTTGCTTTCCCTTTCAACCTGTATGTACTGTGCTTCACTGCCTCACTAATCCAGCTGTGAATAGACTCCACCAGCAGAAATACGGCTAACTGTTGAAAAGCTTTAGATGAGCTTGATTTTAATTTCAAATTACTGTTGTCAGATTAATGTTAAAATGTGTACAAGTGTTGTCAGTTCAAAACTGCATTTGCTGATGGAGACTGAATCCTTGCAGAGTAAGTTCTCAAAGTTCTAATACAATACAGGTCTGGAAATAGTTGAGCTGTTAATAGAAGCTGTCCAGAAAAGTACACTAAATATAATAAGGAATTGCAGTTTGTGATACAGCCTCAAAAATTGAAGAACAAAGAACAGGAGTGCATGGAATAGCTGAACATTAAGAGAAGATTATTTGCTTTGTGTCTGTTTTTTCTGGTGCAGTGTTAAATGTAAATAAAAAATGGTTATTACTGCCTCTTGGTATATTCATTGGCATCTGAACTCAGTGCATACTGGATTTATCTTCCCTGGAAATTACTCAGGTTAGCTAGACAACTTACTGTCTGTCAGTTAAAGTACATTTCTGTGCTTTGCCTGTCTCGTTGAACTCTGAACTTGGGAACAGTAGCATGTGCAGAATTTCCTGTGAG